CCACTGGACCTTATGTTCAATGCTTCTGGTGTTGCTAGAATACCGCATTCTCATGGCCCCTCCAGTGATAATGACAATGGTAATTGCTTTTCGGACGACTCAGACAGGGATCTCAAGCAAACACCAGTTTCGCCCATGCGACAGTCTGCAACGACTCGCTCGTTTGAGAATGAAACGACACTGATCAGAGCGAAAGAATCTCCCGTTGGCAAGCTCTCAACAGCGACCCAATTGCTTACAGCTCCTTGATAGCTCGGTGATGATGGTTCTTAGCGCGCTTTTCGTATTCGGATCGCCCAAGAGCTCGGGCGCTCCACACGATCGACATTTCAACTCTAGCGCCTCACGGAGTGTGGCAGCAGAACAGGCTGAACAGCTGCCCAATCACGTTAGACAATGAGCCAAAGCTGTGGTAGAATATCTATCCCAAGTCTAGAACGTTGGATGGTAGTTGTTAAAGGCTCTGGCAGAAACTCTACTATCAACCTTCCATCAAAAGACTACCTATGCAGGCACATGGAAATTCGTGTAAGATACCTAGGAGTAGGCCAACAATTGATGGTGCTATCAGTGAGGTGCAGTATCACCGCGATAACGTTGCTTATGTAATTGCCATGAACATGCGAGGAAGGAGCCATCGCAGTACTTGCAACCCCCCGTCGCTGTTGCACTGTTGCCTAAGCCCTTATGGGAAGCTCATTCGAGATGAACAACTTCCCTTCTCCGCAAATCTCGTCCCAATTCACTTCATCTTCTCAGACCTCTCCCCCCATCGACCTCCGTCTCCCTCTCTGCCCGCCTCCAACAACGGCGCGGAACCCGGCCTCGCAGCGCCAAGATCGGACGTGGGGACCGTCTTCGGACGTTCGTTCCCAAGCCAATTGCATAACACGACCCTCGTTACTCCCACTTGTTCCTGGCGTCGATAAGGGGATACCTAGACAAACGACGTCTCCCACCAGAGCGGTTCGCCGCCGTCGGCCCCGGTTGGTTCGCACCCATCCATCCACGCATATCCAGTATCCGCAAGTCAGCCGAGCCGCGCGATGCCAAATACAGGCAGGCCGAGTCCAAACTGCCACTTGTGCCGGAGCCGAAGGGTCAAGGTGAGAGAATGAGACATCTAGACGCACAATTTCCGTATCAGTACTCAACGAAATCCGAATCAAAACGGGTCCCTCCCGCCCTCCCGCTCCCGCTCGCAAGTGCCTAGCGTCGTCGCGTGTTATACCTACTCTGTGCCTTTGGTTCACTGATGGATACATGTACCTACCTATCGTACCTACTTTGCCTTATACGTGTGAACAATCATCCCAAGTCTCCATCGCCTTGCAGCTGACAACTGGGGGGTCCGGCCGTGCGCGCCGTGCCCGCGGCATGCAAAAAGTGCGATTTAGGCCGACCTCAGTGCCAAAGATGCATCAAGTACGGGGTCCAGTGCCCCGGCTACCGCGACGATGACGGAATGCGCTTTCAGAACGCCGATCCCACCTCGTTTGAGCGACGGAAGAAGAAGAGGAACCACCAGCACCAAGACCAGGACGATGAGGCGGCGTTGACAACCAACTCAAGGACCGGGACCCTACAGATCATAGAATTCACACCTGAATTATCGACAGCGGCATCGATCTCAACCTCGGCGTCCCCTGGGTCGAGCCGCCAACCGAGCCGGCAGTCCACACCTGCCACGAGCGTCACCACTGACACCACTACCTCGACGCAGCTATCCGTAGCACTTCCCGTGCTCAAGACTATCCGTCAACACTGGACTGCCGAATCTATCCCGCTGGTCCTGGGATTCTACGAGAGCCTGGACTTTCTTCCAGGCTTGTTCAGGGGTGCCGGCCAAAACCACTGCCTCGTGCTCACCGGCCAGGTCTTTACCAGGGCCTACATGATTAACAAGTTCCGTCCCAGGGCCGACTATCGCGAGCTGTCCATCGTTCTCGGCCATGCTCTGGCCGCGGTACAGGAGGCTATCAGAAACCCCAAGACGTATACTTCCGATTCAACGATCGTTGCGGTTTGGTTGCTTGGGAACTATGAGGTGAGTGAAGAGGCTTATAACATGCTATTCGCATGACACTCAGCCCAAACCTCGGTGTGCAATGTGCTGGGCTGTTGCTGTATTGCTTTTGGCGACCAGGGGACTAAAAAAAAATTCTGGCAGCTGATGATTGGCGGGTTGGAACGGAGATCGTTCATTACCAATAAAGAAAGGGGTTCGTCGCCCGAAGTTCCCTGGCACATCCACGGCCAGGGCCTCCTCAGCCTCATGCGGGCAAGGGGGGACCGGCAGCTCTACACCCGGTCCGGCCGTCAAATCTTCTGGGTCATGCACAATATGATTGTAAGCAGGATACTCCAGACCTACCTGCTCTGGTTTACTAAACCCGTATGTTAGCAAGTCCAACTCACGATTGCAAACACACCTTGTCCCCCGGACTTTGAACGCTGGCTCGACATCATCGAAGCAACCCTCCAACCCAGCGAAGGCCTCCTTCTTCACACTGCCCGCTACCTCTCTGCAGCATGCTCCCTTCTATCAAAACTGATCCCGCTAACACTCAGCGGCGATGCCTCCCGCGCCCGGGCAGCATACCCGGCCCTCATTGCTGAGAGCGACCGGGCGGACCTCGCCATGGCGGAGTGGATGCACGCGGCGCCCGAGTTCCAATTCGAACCGGGGCCGATGTGGGGCTACTTCTGGAACTCGTGGCGGAGCGCAAGGATCAAGGTGCACCACATGATCATTCTTATTTCGAATCTCGTCGAGTATGGTGAGCCGTCGCTGGTCCCGGAAGATTACGACGTAGACTGTGGTGGGTGTCCGTTGTTGAACCCGGAAGTCCTTCACGCCCGCCGGGAATTCTGCATGGGCATCATCGCGACGGCCGGTCGAGACGTTGTGGAGGGGATACCGAGGTCGTTGGGCGGGAAAATGCCGGACCTAGACCCGGATTTGCCCTCGTCGTATTTCGATGGCGTGAGGTTGATTTGGCCGCTGAGCCACCTGTACATTCTCCCCACGGCGCCGCGGCACCTGCGAATCGTGGCAAGGGATGCGTTGTTGAGAATCGCCAAGGAGAAGGGGATCTTGACGGCGTTGAAGCCGAGGGCGGGCGGGATGCTGTTCCCGGAGGCGGCGTTGAGGGGCATCCCGGTGGATAATCTGGAGGATGTTATTGAGGGCGGCGGAGGAGTGCATCAGATTGCGACCAAAGTTGAGGCGCAGGATTGATGATACTCCACAAACAAGGTCGAATGGGAGTGAGCTCCGAAGCTTGGAGCACGTATGTTGACTTCTATGAGATCTCCGAACTGTAAAGTCGGGGTTTAGTAACTTCCGTCATCTAGGTACGGACCCGTTATGTCGCTGTTTTCTTGTTGTGGGTTCTACGGACATAATCATCTAGTTGTACCCGCCGTCGGCTTGTTCGCTCGGGGTATTCGCTGGTCGGTGCTAAACTCAATTCGCCGATGAACATGACATCAATACTCACCCAAGTACACAGCCCTGCCAGCCAAAGTGAAAAAGTGATGTTCGTGCGCCTACCTAGTTCTTTCAGCTTAGCTCGGGGGGCTCTGGAGGCTGCTTACGCTCGCATAGCTTGCTGCTCCCCCTATGGTCGATCACTGACGATCGCACTTCTGCCTTTTACCCACTTTGCAGTCTGATTACCCTTAGGCATAGACTATCGTGGGATCGCATGTAAATTTGATCTTCCTTCATAAGAACCCTCCCAGCGAAGGGAAGTCTCCCTAGAGAAGACGATTGAAAAGCGGATGCCGTATTGAATGCGTTAGAGGGATTCAAGAAACCCCTCAATATGTTCAAAGCATAAGACTAGGCACCAACGACCCGCATCATTGATCATGGATCCCAACATTCCTACCCCGGCTCACTGGCTCAGGGAACGAGAAGCTTGTTTCGACGTGTTAGCGCCAGATTTGCGCTGCTGCGGCCTGCGCCGTTGAAAGCGGGAGGTCTGTCGCCGGTGTAGAGCTACTGGTGCAAAAGAAAGAGTTTGATCAGTTTGCGGTAGAGTACTGCAGGGCGTAAGCAGAGCCCGGCACTTCTGAGCCGAGTAGGCCTGCCTCATGCCGGAAGAGGAAAACCATTCGACCCCGATTTTCTGCTTGATCTGGGCCCTAAGAGCGTCCTCGAACTTTGAGGTGTTTGCGCGGTGATGAGTGGTCGCTGGTGAGACGTGGTGGTAGGATTCTGGCCGTGTGCCGATTATCCGAGTCGCGAGATAGGGCGCGACATGAAAGTAGGGTATCCTGAGACCATTCCCGAATAGTAGCATTTCTCGAGGTTATGGGGCAGCAGAGTCAAGAGTCAAGACTCTGGTGGCTCAGCCACGGGATTGACGCGCCCTGGGGATTTACAAGATGACAATATGTACTCCGTATGACATGCCTTTGTACTCCGTACTACGAAACTAAAGGACGATACTAGCAATGAGCTTCTGTATAGAAACGGAAAAGATCTTTCCCCGTAGAGGTGATGAGTAAGATGCATCGTTAATCGATAAGAGGCCTAGGTAAGGTACCTGCTCCCGCGTGCTTAGATTGCGTCTAGATAAGGTACGGCGCTACAACCCCTCAACCACCCCGGGGCGCCGCTGATGCGCTTCGACAGCTGATTGGATACCGCAGCGACCGTTGGCTATGGAGGAAGGCGGAGTTGTGGTTAGCGGAGGATTTTCCAGCGAATGTAAGTAAGCGAATGCGATGGATGGGGACGCCGATGCAACGGACGCGCAGGCTGGCGGATGGGGCCCGAAGGCTTGTTTTCTGACTTACAGCTAGCTGCCTATTGATAATGGGGCCGGGGGAAGGAAGTATGGGAGGACTCCCTCGCGTGTAAGGTGGTTTTGAAAATGATATAACTACCGGGCTTGGGAGCTCTAGATATCTGGAGTATTCGAACCATCATCAACTTACTTCACTCTAGAATACGACTAGCCTGACATACCTGGTCCTTTAGTCTTACTATGCTTATTTACGAAGCTCTTATCCAGGCCCGCGGCCTTCTTCGCGACAATGACAGCAGCTCTAATAGCACCAAGGATACCTGCCCACACATCTCCCTCGCCGAAGGTCAGCATATGTACTCTCCCCTAGTCTGTCATTACCCAAGCTTCTTTTGCTAACACCAAGTCAAGATGCATCTCAACCCCTCTTTGGCACCATGTCCTTCTACACCTTCAACATGATCCTCTCTGGTAGCTTCGCCGCCGCATCGTGTCTCATCATCTTCACCCTCATGATCCTCCACGCGACGCATCTCAGCAAGAGTAACGAGCAAATCAAGTGCGTTCCCCTCCATTATCGATAAAAATTACGAACCTAGACACGGTGGAGCTAACAGCAGAAAATAGAATCCTCAGAATCTCCCTCATCATCCCCTTCTGGTCCATCATCTCTTTTCTGTCAATCTGCTTCCCCACGGCCGAGGTCTACCTCCACCCCTGGCTCGAGTTCGTCCAGTCCATCTGTCTGGCCACTTTCTTCCTCCTCCTGTGCGAGTTCGTCTCGCCTAGCGAGCAGCACAGGGATGTCTTCTTCGCCGGCATGACTGTGAAGAATAAGAAGGCTGCCAATGGGGAGGAGAATGGTCTTGAGTGGTATAGGGTTAGTCTACTGCATCTCGTCAAGCACCGTGGAGGTATACATCTAACATCCCATCGCAGAAAATGTGGTTCGCCGTCTTCCAATATCCAGTCGTCGCCCTCCTCGTCGCCATCTTGACCGCCATCACCCAAGCTGCCGGAGTCTACTGTGAGTTCGAAAGCAAAGTACATTTCGCTAGACTATGGGTGAGTCAAACCTTCAGCCCCCGCCTATAACTCATCTGACGATTTCCCCAAAGCTGCAAATCATCGGCACCGCCTCCCTCACCATCGCCCTCATGACCGTCATCCGCTTCTTCATGCAACTCCGGAAAAAGCTCTCCCACCACCAACCCCTCGCCAAATTCTTCGCCTTCAAGCTCGTCGTCACCCTCACCTTTCTCGAAAACATCATCTTCTGGATCCTCAAGGACACGGGCGCCCTCAACCCGACGTCCACCCTCACCGACGCCGATCTGCGCATCGGCATCCCTTCCATGCTCGTCTGCATCGAGATGCTGCCGCTGGCTGCGTTCTTCCACCACGCGTACTCGCACCGGCCCTACGTCATTGGCGGCGGGAACACGCGTCGGCCGTTGGCGGGGGATTTGGAGGCGTATGAGCCGCAGACGTACTCTGGTGGGCCCGGGGGTGTGTGGGCGCTGGTGGAGATGTGGAACCCGATGGAGATTGTCGAGGCGATTGTGTTTGGGTTGAAGATGAAGGCGGAGGAGAGGAAGCAGTCTAGGGCCAGGGGGCGCGAGTGGCAGTCGACTAAGTATCAGTCGGTCGAGGAGCCGTATGAGATGGGCAGGAGATGAGGGAGGTGATGGAGCGAGTTTGATGAGCGTTGATTTGAAGCATAGATTGATCATTTCATAGCACATAGATTTTCCCTGCCAGCTGTATATACCCTTGTTCAGAAGTTGACTCGCTTACCTGTATTCTTTACTCGTCCACAGTAACAAATGTCAAGTGAACCTGGCTGGTACCTTAGTTTACTTTACACCATATGGCGATCCAAGTTGTGTAACTGAGAATAGTAACTTGGCCTAGAATACAAGGAATTCTTATACGGAAGTCGATTGAAGTTTTTTAATGAACGGCCAATGCAATTCCATTGTTGTACAGTACCTCGTATTACTATATAGGGAAACATATGTACTTTGAACACTATGTCTAAAGGGCGTTGACCTTGGCGGCATGCTCATAAACAAGCGGCTGGGCCTCGGCATCATCCAGGTAGATGGTGAACCCATCATTATGGTTGCGACCATACGAGTAGTTGGAGAACCCGTACTGCCAGTACATATCCGGCATCTCCTCCTCCAGCGAAATCGCTTGCCACTTGCCCAGCACCTCTGTCCTCGGCGTGTCGTCCACCTTGCCAAGGTACTCAAGCCTCTTATCGGCCGTCAACCATCCATACTCCTCATGCACAACCGGCTTCCCAACCTTCTTCCCAGACGCCGCGTGATCCCGGACCCACTGCTCCGTCCACTCGACCGTCTTGCTCCACCAGTCAGGGTAGGAGTGGAACGTGCCAAAGTCGATATTCGGCAGCGCGAGCTCGTGGTCAAAGTCGCTCCCGTCGGCGCCGTTGTACGCCCAGTCGTCTGATTCGATGTTGAAGCCGCCCTCGCCGCCCCAGGTCACGAGGTGCTTGTTGTCGAGGGACTTGACGTAGGCGCTCATTTCGGTGATCCAGGCGCCCAGGCGCTCGGGCGTGCAGTCGTCGCTTCGGGGGAGGTTGCGGGTGCCGTCTGCGCCGCAGCGGGGTTCGTTGGCGAGTTCCCAGGCCATGATGGCTGGCGAGTCCTTGTAGCGGGTGACCATTTCTTTTACGTAGCGCTTGAAGGCGTCCTTGATCGCGGGGACGTGGTAGAACTAGGTTCGTATTTGGGTTAGCATTCCGGTACCGCAGAGTTCTGTTTGTGGAAGAAAGTTGGGGGCTACTCACGTCGTCGTGGTATTTTCCACCCAAGTTAACCGTGTAGACGTCCATGCCGCCGTAATCGGCCCAGTTGTTGGTGAGCGCGACAATCAGCTTGATGCCGACCTTGTCCGCTGCGTTGACGACCTTGTCAAAGGCCTCAATATTGATGATGGAAGTGCCGTTCTCCCATCTCTGGAAGACGATATCTGTGTCGCCAGCACCCTCGCCGCCATACTGGGGTAGACCACCAGCATTGTACGTGACGTTCTTGTCGTTGAAGCCCCATGTGCGGAAGACCTTCAATCCGGCGTCCTTGGCTGCCGTCAAGCCGGCCTCGACATCGGCTTGGTTCTATAAGACTTGGTCAGTTTCGTCACATCTTGCTAAAGTCAATCAATTGGGCTGCTCTTTGCAGGTCACATACGTTGTCGAAAGGGAAGTAGTAGGCATTGCTCCCCGCAAAGTTGAAGTCTTCGCCATCGAGCTGGAACTTTGTGCCCTTGACCGTGACGAAGCCCTTCCTGATGCAAGCCGCGGACGCGGCTCCGCTGGCCAAAAGGCCAATGGAGAGCAGACCTGAGAGTTGAGGTAGCATTGTTGGATCAATTGACGGGAAGGCCTGCGACCAATTCCAGATAATCCTCTCGCCAGACACGCGAAAAGCCCGACGAGGCGGAGACACATGTTCGCGGCTACGTGCCATATATATTGACCCTCGCCCTCGGAAAAGTTTACATCATTGCAGTAAACGCGATCCGAACCATACCATCTGATCCGGGGCGTTTCCCGATTCGAACGACGGAGGCCGTTGGGCCGCGTGCCACGGGTGCGTCGACCGGGGCACGCGGAGGGGAAGTTGGAGATGCCAAGGTGAGGGACCGGGACGCTATGCTGCTTTTAACGCGGAGGATGGTTGTCCGAAAGTTGGGGTCGGGGCAAATTGTCAAATGAGACCAGGCACAGGCGAGGATACATGAATCGAGGTGTGGAATTGGCAAACCGTTCTTCGTAGACGGCTAGGATGCTATCTTACCTGGTTGAAATTCCCACTCAAGATGTCAAAGTGGGTAGCGTCCATGGTGCCATTCCCGCGACTGTTCACTGAGCCCGAGACTCTCGGGTCATGGTAAGTCGCAGATGAGCCTTGACCAATCTGCCCGTAGGCATATTCATCCCTTGGGAAGCGTCGCAAAGGTCAATAAAGCCCTTTAAGTGAACACCACAGAGTTTGACAGCTCCTCGAGCCAACAGTCAAGTACAGCGATCTTCAACTGCAGGCTCAAGCCAAGAGAGACCTAGCGTCAGGGCCATCTATCCGACGGGATGAACTTCCTGCTCGTCCGAACAATTGACATGGGGAATTGGCAAAGCCGATCTCAGTCTCGCCTCCCCAACCCACAATTATGCTTTGTCCCCGCGTCGGGTAGCCGGCTTGTCTTCCTGAGCCTTTCCAGCTGTATTCAAGAACCACCCAGGCTGCAATGCTCTCGATTGCTGCGCCGCCTGCGTCTCCTGGCATCATGCCTTCATCAACATGAGGTATAGTCGGCGCTTCTTCTAACACGTATACTGGAATGAGAGTAGGAAGATGGATGTGCCTTGGCCATCAAAATACGTTGGGTCACACTTCATCTCATGCTGGTATAGAATCCGCTTCCAGAAAAGCGCGGGGTTGTTTGCTTTCAATGTGGGGTAGCTCTGGTTTTGGTTGTGGTCCTTGAAATTGTTAACAACTTTCGCGATGGAGAGAGAATTGGCACCCATGTAGATAACATGACACAAATCACTACTGTGAAGCCTTACAAGTCCTATTATCTGGCAAATCAAAAACATGACCATGTATTAATGAATGCCTAAAGTTCACGGTAGACACAGTACGCACACGATGCTAGCTTAGCGTCTGTCAGAATCATCGCTATAGCAAAAGTCAAAAATGGAACTCGTGAAGTGAGTCTCGAATTGCCTCGTGGCGGAGTCGAACCGCCGATCTTCTCATGTCACTATTACTAGTGAGACGCTATACCACTTAGCCAACAAGGCTTGCTTCTATGTGCCCAGAATGCGGAATATGTTGGGCGACGACGAGTGGGACGACGGGTGGAAGTTGAGTGGGTTTCGAGAACTGGGGCCTGGCAGCTTGGCCCAGAACAACCCAATATGGATGGACATGCAGGCCATGCGCAGAAGCGCTGGAACTGCAAAGTGGGCTGAAACCCTCCAGTAGCTTGATCGATTCCTCGGTAAAACCGGTCGATATCGGCAAGACGTATCATTCTGAGAACGTTAGTCCTTACATGTACCCAAATCCAAAGCTCAAGTCGTAGGCTGTAGAGAACCTTTCTCTCAGTTTCACCAAGTACAACGTGTACTAGTCAGAAGAGTATGACTTAAGTTGATGCTCAACTCAAGTGGTTGAGCCGGAGAATCTTTGGGCTGTTTTGAGACGGAGGCTTTGCGACCATATGAATCACTGTTGAAACCCATCAATCCGAGGTTCTCAACAGGAAGTTCTGAGATACAACAAGAGCATGAATATTGCGAGCTTCGCACTGACCTTGACTCCTCCCAACGTGGGAACAATGGGAGTACTGTTGAAAATACCACATGAGCCGCTAAGAATGGACCGGAGGAGGAGAAGTTAGTAAATGTTCTGTGTTCTCTCACAGCCTTGACACTGGTCCTGGAAGCTAAACTAGACATCCGGTGCTCTGCTCTACTGGCATCGCTTGATTTCGGCAATTCAAGGCAAAGGCCATCAGAATGCCACGTCAAAGTCAGCCGTGCTGTGATGGACCAGGGACAAGGTATAGGGCCTGTCGACGAGTGCGTGGTTTATGAGCTGCATCAAGGCCACCGCTTAGACTGCCACCTATTAATTTTTTTGGCCTTCTCCTAACATGTTGACCAAGTTTCCTCCTAGCATGTGCTATGTCAAGTTGCCAATCTCAAATAGGGGATACAAACAATGGTTGTTTGCGTTATCCAGCGCCCAAAAGTTGCACAAACTCGAATCTGTAGGAATTTTTGTCACTCGCACAATTACTACAAACACAACTTGCATCTTGGGCTCTCCTTAGACTTATCGAGATGGATGCTTTGACCTTGGGATTCAGCCCATTTAAACAAAACGGAACCAAAACCACAATTCCCGCATTTGGCGTACCAACGACGGGGCTGGCCCTCCGTGATCCCATCCTACTGCCGAAATCCACCAATTACCGAGACTAGTAGACTGCCGCTGACAGCCTTTTAGTAAAAGTCTGGGGAAGTTCTGGAGCATGGCACGTAGCATGCGTCAAGGATCAGTTGATTGCGGTGTGTCTTCCACGTCCACGGGGTCCTACCTTCATTTACAACACGCTCGCTCACTCGTCAAGTCGCCCGTCAAGGGCAGTGAGGGATCCTGGCCAAGAGTCACAGCTATGAGATTCCTACGTTGGATCAGACGATTCATTTACTTTCATTACAAATGACCGGGCGGAAATTCGGTTGAGATGTCGAGTATATAGTAGCGAACCCAAGTTGAGCATGTTGGAGCTATTTCTTGCGCACGCCATCCTCCTTGACTTCAATCAACTCTCCCCGTATACCAAGCTTTGATCGTCATGAAGTCCGCTCTTCTATCCTTGTTGGCGATCGCGGCCAACCAGGTTTCAGCACACGCGACCTTTCAGGCTCTGTGGGTTGATGGAGTAGACGTATGCCCAAGCCCTTGAAATGAGAAATCGCAAGCTTGCGCTGACTGGTAGTAGTTTGGCGGCCAATGTGCCCGACTCCCGCTTTCAAACTCACCCGTTCAAGACGTCACTTCCAACGATGTTCGATGCAATGCCAACGGCGGCCCAGTTGCTCGCAAGTGTGTGGTCAAGGCCGGATCCTCAGTTGTGGTCGAGATGCATCAGGTACGTTGAACCACACTGTTCGATATGAACGTTTCATGTAAGATCTAACGTCCTCGCTTATAGCAACCCAACGACCGAACATGCACCCAAGAAGCCATCGGAGGCGCACACTACGGCCCCGTTCTCGCCTACATGACCAAGGTTTCCGACGCTACTACCGCCGACGGCTCGACCGGCTGGTTCAAGATCTACCAAGACGGATGGTCCGCCGCGGCCGGCAGTGCAAACGGCGACGGCGACAATTGGGGATCAAAGGACATGAACACCTGCTGTGGTAAAGTCCAGGTCAAGATTCCCTCAGATATCCCCGCCGGAGACTACCTCCTTCGCGCCGAGTCCATCGCCCTGCACGCGGCCGGCTCAAGCGGGGGCGCCCAGCTGTACATGACTTGCTTCCAACTCACCGTGACTGGCGGAGGAAGTGCTTCCCCCGGCACCGTCTCGTTCCCTGGCGCCTACAAGGCTTCTGATGCTGGCATACTTGTCGATATCCACAGGGCCCTGACTACCTACGTCGTGCCGGGCCCGACTGTGTACGCCGGAGGCTCGACCAAGAGTGCCGGTGCTGCTTGCGTTGGCTGCGAGTCGACATGCACCGCTGGCTCTGGACCTACTGGAACCGCATCGAGCGTGCCACTGCCGACGGCATCTGGTGGGCTGCCCGGCTGCACTGTTGCCAAGTATGCTCAGTGTGGTGGCGAAGGGTACACCGGCTGTACCACTTGTGTTGTAAGTTGAATTCTTCTAAAATCGTAGGAGATTACTTGATGCTGACAATGCGCAAAGTCGGGCTCGACATGTCAAGCTGTTTCGGCTCCCTACTATTACCAATGTGGTTAAACTTTGTAAGAGCCCGAACTAATGTCAAGGTGCGGGCCGTATCTTTGAACGTCAACTAAGATGTCTTGAGAACGATTGCACCAAGCCCGAGAGACCTTACTATTCTTCAGGCTGGTGAGTTATTCAATTGGGGTTTGCTTTGATGGATGTCACATACAAGATTTACAGAGGCTAGTCTGCCAACAAAAGTCTAGCATCACACCATCACCACTTCTCGTGCAGTGCCTCTATCATATGTCCATACACGAAGCCTGTTACTTCTAGCCTTAGATGGCTTCATATTGATGACATATGGTTTCTTTGACCAGAAGCATGTGACAGTACTCTTGAAGCACGGCTTCCACAATATGGCTCCGTGAACCGCAAACCTCAAGCCTTTTGCGATCCATTAAGGAATGATATTGATATATAATATTGAAGCATTAGTGCTCAACAATAGAAAAAGCACATACTGGACAGTCTAGACAGGGCACGGAGCAGGTTTTCAAGGAAAATCAAATAGCAAAATCAGGCTTGCTCAATGATAATTAGATGCAATCGAAATGGAAGTCTTCCGTCCTGCCCATCTCACTCACATATAGAGTACTGAATTTGAGTTTATTTTTTCCTTCATGTACTTTCGCGTGATGCATGGGAGACCAAAAGGGTTCGCCGGTGATGTTCAAGCTATGATAATCGTCATTCAATTTACGTCGACAAAGTATTTCAATACTGCAAAAACGACAAAATCATGCTACATGATTGGGGGTATAGTACAGACACAAGGCACGCTTTTACATCCCTTACTACTTCCTGGTGACAGCTCTCAAAGTCCCCTCCCCCCACCCTCTTCCCCCCAAAGAAAGTAATTACAGCCCTCCCCTTCTTAGCTTCTTAGAAGTGGCCAACCTCTGGCGCTGTTGGCGGTGGACCCCTTACTTCGATTGTGAAGTTTGGCTGCCCAGGCGCCCCAGTTCTGTATGTTTTCGTTCGTCTTTGGGGGTGTCCTGGCACCTCGACCTCATCTTCCGACCAGTCAACCACTTCTTCACCTCGAACGCCCCCACGTCTGGGGCGAGATGCTCCGTCGCTATCTCGGAATGAAACCCTTCGTGCCCTTGATTGATCGAATGGTCTTTCCGATCTCAGCGGTTCCGGTGAAGCATAGCCGCTGTCACCGGGAGACAGGCTACCGTGAAGTGGCGTATTCGTATCTCCTTGGAATCGCGGCCCAGAGTGGCTTCCACTCCTCGTTCGAGACTTCCTCACTGTTCCGGTCCAATAGGCTTCGGATTTCTGGGCTTGTCTTTGTTGTGGATCGGGTCCCTGGTAGGGGGGTTGACCATAGATCGTTTGGTTTGGCATGAAGGGGTTGCTAGTTGCGGCAGCATCACTGTCTCTTGGTAGTGGTGGATGGCTGCCGCCAGAGTAAGGAACTTCTGATGCAGCTCGTCGATGAGATGGTCTGTGAGGAGCTTGAAAGCCTCCAAGATCTGACAGCGACTGTCCACGTACTGCCTTCAAGATTTCCTTGGCAGTAGCTTGTATAATGGGGCCAGCATCCGGTTCATCATAGACTGACGGAGCAGGCGTGGAAAAACCCCTAGAGCCAATGTCGGAGCGGAGGAGTCGTCTGCTCAATTCTGAGCGCACGTCAATGTCTCTCAGAGCACTGGCATTGTTTTCCAGCTCCTTCCGTACAGTCTTTTTCACCTGTCTGATCAAGGCTGCATCTGATGCCTTTTTCCTTTCGCGTCTTTCCTGAGCTTTCCGACCATCATCCGCTTGCTGTTGCCTGAACGCCAGATCTTCCATTCCTCTCTTCATCTCTTCTATGTCATCATCTCGACTTGTTCGTTTGTGTGGCTTCTCCTGTCTTGGCTTAGGCTGCTTCTTGGATCTGGGCGCGCTTGCTTCCTCATAATATCCCTCGACTGGCTGTTGCGGTGCGGGATACGGTGGGTAATGATCCTTGTGTTGACGGGGGAAAGTAGTCTGTGGGCCAGGGCCGGTATTATAAGCATGACTGCGAGGTGTGGCGGCGTACGGATGAGAGTGGACTGGTCCTTGATGCGGTACATAGTAAGAACCGTAAGGCTCGATCGGTGGAGGATATGTAGATGGTGGTGGTCCCATAGGCCGGGGCCCGCCCATCGGATTTTTCCAACCAGCAGTATGAGGTACTGGAGTATAATACGGCATTGGAGGCGCATGAATTGGATATACGCCAGGATGGGGAGGTGGAGGAGGAGGAGGAACTCCGTAGTAGTTCATTGCTGGGCCTTCAGGCCGTTGACTGAACCCTTGAGGCTCGTTGGGACCGGGAGGCGGGAGTTTTCGGTTCGGGGGACCTCTGTGCCGTGAAGGGTCTGCGAAACCTTCTAGGTGACCGCGCCTATACGGGACTGTCTGGCCGGTAGCAAATCTTGCTTCGTGATGAGGGCTCAAGCTATCTGGATCGGCGTAAGTTCCGTCCCATGCAAATTGTGAGGCAAGATCTTCGAAGTTGTCGACTGGTTCTGTGTGACGATGGTGTTGTCTGTAGGATCTTCGTGTTACGTCGGGTTCCGATTCGCTCCAGTCAATGTCTTCTGGAATATCTCCCTGTGGGGTTGGTTTTCTTCGTGAAGAATAGGGAAGCGCTGGAACCATGGTATTGAATGCAAGGTGAATGGGTGTTTGATGGAGCGAAGAATTATTGACTTTCAAAGCATACTGTCAACTGCCAGATGTGGATAATGCGACACGGTCCCAATTTGCTAGAGTCGGGGCGCGCAGTGTGGCTGCTGCTTTATTATATTCGTCATCCCATTCCGAGCCACGCCGCTCCGAAGGAAGACGCGCGGGATAGGCTCGGCTCTCTTCGAAACACTTTCTTGCCGGTCGGCTTCTGAAGGCCGCCATCGAGCGTTCCTGTCATTGGCTCTGAGGGTGGTTGTTGGTTCGTGTTGGCAGTCATGTGTCGTGCGGCGATGAAAAGAAGACCACCCGTTCGCCGTTTATCCAGCTGCTCCGATTAGACAGGTCGCCGCTCCGGCCGTCACTTGCCCCGTTTCATCCTTGGACACAGGGACCGGACATGACTTTGAAGCAGGCTATGCTAGAAATGCAGCTGCCTCATGGACGCCTTGAATTCTGCCTTGAAGTCAACCGGCTTGTCGCAGCTTACATATGCGGCCAATGGCGCTAGATTGGCGCTAATGTACTGCGAGGTGTAGGAAACCACGTCAAGAGGCAGAGTACTTGGTTATACTTGGGTTAAGGCAATTGATCTCTAACACCAATTTACGGAGAGGGACTGACGAGGTTGTGTTAAACGCTGAAGTCCAGAGCGCAGCGTTGGAAGCTAGTAAATAATCTTGCGACTCAAAAGCTGGACCCTGCATTGAGGCCGCACCTCTTCTAACAGCATTTCCAACTATTCATTCAAACCAACAGAGCGAAACGCTTGTAGAACGTTGCACACTAACGAACAATTCAAGCAGGCTGGCATGCAATATATATGCATGCGGTAAGACTTTGCAGCCGGCCGCTCAATGATGGTGGCAGTGTTGACGTGTTTTGGGATAAGCGACGTGGGGATTTGAGCCAGTAGGATAGCCCAATGCCACCAAGATCATGGTGTGAAGCTCAGCCCCCGTGACATGCTTCTGTTCTTCGAGTCCCCTGCAAGTCGGATTGGCGCAATGATGTGGGCGCGAAATCTCCTTTATGATTCGTTGGCTCTTCGGCCGAGAGCATGGTCCAAATGCTTAAACATAGAGAAGCTGCTGAATCCGGGAGTCTTCTCTATCCCTGAGTTGTTTAGTTGGAACATATCTTGAAGTTTGCAACTTAGCCGTCTTGGTCAACCGCGGCTATTCCTTGATGTCAGTCATAGCACAGTGCTTGAGCCTGCGCATCTATTTCCAGAAACGCTCCAACGGCGGCTATTTCGGATGCCTACCTTGGGCTAAGAGCTTTCCAACATGGATCCTCTGAGCATCACAGCAAGCACTCTTACTGTCATCCAGTCGTTGTTGGCTACGTTCGATGCTATCAAACACATCAAGGGTTTACCCGCAGCCTTCAAGGAGGTGGGGAAAAGCCTCCCACTCGTCGAGAACACACTGCAACTCGCTCATGAAGCCCTGGAAGCCGAGAAACCAGACGCCGCGGCTGAGAAGGAACTTATACCCGCACTGGGCGATTGTCAAAAGCGGGCTTCCACTTTACGCGATATCTTCAAAGACATTGAGGGCGGCAAGAACCAGGAAAAGGAGGCCAAAGAGTGGTCCGCTCTTGTCAAGTTCTATCATAACAAAGTCGTACCATTGGGCAAGGCTCACAAAGTCGAAAGCCTGATGCAAGACATACTCAAGAAGCTCAAGGTACTAGCTATTCGTCAGATATTCAAGGCAAGTGCGGAGTTGCAAAAGCAAGTTGGCGGCCTAGAGGATGCAATCCGCTCTCTGTCAGAAGTGGACCCATCCCTCCCAGACTCTGAATTTGATGCCGCGTCTAATAATATCTCGATGAACAACTACGGCAAAGCGAAAGGGTTGGTTTCGACAGGCAGCAATGCGGACATTGCGATGGGAGATAAATATCATTCAGGCCACAACATGTACTTTGGTAGGAGATCAAGAGACAGCGATTCTGACTGAAGGTCTTCAAGTTTAGAAAAGCTGACGACCCGTCAATTCCGTGTAGCAAACCATTACTATCAAACTTCTGGCGCTACTGGTTCGTTTCCATCTGTCCGAACTGACTGTGTCTCCTGTTCTCACCAAAGAAAGTGGACCGTCCAGAACTACATATCGCGGACTGGCTGAGGCTAGTGTCACGGCCGCTGGATGTTGCAAAGATGCAAACCGAAACATTCCAAATCGCTCTCAAGACTCCCGGTGCAGGACATGCAATCACTCAACTGCCGGCATTTGAAAAATGGTGTGCTGGAGAGATTCGGAAATTTTGGTGCTATGGAATCCGTAAGATGATGTCTTCGTTGCAAAATGAAATCGATGATCTAACGAAAGGGCGCTTTTAGCTGGATCTGGGAAAACAATTCTTGCGTAAGCATCAGACTTTTGATCATGACACAGTCCTTCTTCGATCTCAAGAGCCTGTACTGATCAAAGCTTCGCAGATCTATCATCATCGATCATATCTCCAATCGAGTGATAGGACATCGCACCAAGGAAGTCTGTGTCTACTTTTACTTTGACTACACAAAACACTCCGTACAGGGGATTACCGACATTCTATCCACAGTACTGTTGCAACTCTTACAAAATCAGGAGGTTCTTTCCCCCGAAACTCAGCGCGTCGTTAATACCTGGAAAAGGACTCGACAAGTCCCAACTGAGGAGGACTACTTCAAAATGATTGCATCGCAAGCGGAATTGTTTTCCACTATTTATTTCGTGGTAGATGCTCTTGACGAATGTCTCGACAGCCCCGTTGAAAACACTCTTGCGATCTTCCTAAGGAGATGCCAGGACTTGCCGAAGAACTTCAGGATGGTCTTCACGTCGAGGCCGGGATCCCATTTCCATCGAATGATAAGCCCAGATCATAAATGTGAAGTCAAGGCAGATGAAGCTGATGTTAAAGCTTACTTCGAAAAGTTCATCGAAAACCACTATGATTTTCAAAAGGTCGTAGAGAACGGCCGCATAGCGGATCCGTGCTTCAAAGACAAGATCATTACAGCAATTATGAAAAAGTCTCAAGGAATGTAAGTCACTGAAGTCATTCAAGAATAGAAGGTACTGAGCATTACTCACATTTGACATAGGTTTCTTCTTGCACATCTTCATATCGAATCCTTGGCTTCAACTCTGAGTCTCGTTGAGCTCATCAACAAATTGTCACACCTCTCAGCAAGCCCGCAAGAAGTCTATCATCAGGCAATGGACCGCATAAAGACGAACTCCGTTTCGAAACGGATTTTGGCTATTCATGCCTTGTCCTGGGTCGTTTACGCTAAGAGAGCTCTCACTGTCGATGAGCTTCTACACGCTGTCGCAATTCGTAGTGCCCCACCATCTTCGTTCACCGACAATGAGCCGAGAAAAAATCTCCTGCCTACGTCATCCAATATGTGTACGGAAGAAGTTCTTTTATCGGCCTGCATCGGCCTCATCGTCGTTGTCCCCGGTGGCTCTGCATCTGAAAGGACTGTTCGATTGGCTCATGCCACTGCAGCGGAATTCCTCTTGGCTCAAGAGATAATCAGAGATGAGCAGGCTACCTTTCTGGAAACCTGTTTAAACTGTCTTTTCCACGCCTCAAGTCAGAAATCTTGCTACTCTGGGGAAGAGCTCAATAAGCACTGCAAGATGTATCCTCTCTTCCGTTACGCAGCGGCGTACTGGGGAAACCACTTCTCCGAGGTGCCCAAAGTAAAAGGAAGTAATTACAAGTTGGCCTGGGACTTTGCATCAGACGAAGTTAAGCTAGGCAATGCATTGAGAACGATGACAGACCCAAGGGTCTCGCACCAGACAAAAGTTTCTGGAGGGCATGTCTCAGCTTACTTTGGGCTTGAGAGTCTGGTCAGGAGAGCGATGTCCAAGGCCACCAATGTTGACTTTAATGCCAGAACAAAGAGCGGAGATACCCCATTACACTGGGCAGTAGCCCATAACCAACAAGATTTCGCGTTGTTTCTGATCAATGCAGGGGCGGATCTCAACATCCAAAACACCAATGGCAAGACGGTCCTACACATGGCGACGGCGATGGACCACAGACACTTTATCAACATTCTAATAGAGAAAAGGGCAGACCTTGAGCTCCAAGACTCCGAGGGATACACTTGTTTGCGATGGGCTGCCCGTTATGGATACCAGAGGACTATTAGTATCCTGCTGGAGGCCGGAGCAAAGATCAGCGCGTCTGACAAGGATGGATACACAGCGTTACGCTGGGCAGCACGAGAGGGGTACAAGTCGATCGTTAAGACTCTCATTGACAGAGGCGCATCAATTGAGTCACCGGGCTCAGAGGAGTGGACGCTGATGAGATGGGCAGCACAAGAGGGCCAAGACTACATCATCAGCCGCTTGGCTAAAAGAGGTGTCAGTTTGAATAATTCGGATTCCGAGGGATTGACTGCTTTGAGCTGGGCCGTGAAGTACAAGCGAGAGATGACCGTATGGCAGCTGATCAAGGGTGGTGCAGATGTCAATAAGCCGGACAAGAAGGGAAACCGACCTCTTCATCTGGCTGCACACAATACCAGCGGCGATCAAGACAGAAGCTCTCTGAATATAGTCTGGATACTCTTACAGAACAAGGCCGAGATCGACGCCAGGAACAAACACGGAATGACACCTCTGCATCTAGCAGCAGCCAGAGGAACCGCCTCAACCGTCTGGCTGCTACTCGAAAACGGAGCGAATCCAACTCAAGTTGACACAAATGATCACAACGCATTATACAAGGCCGTGACTGGGCTTCATCTTGGATGCTGCCAGATTCTGATCCAGAAAGCGGAGCATCTCGTCAACTCCAAGGACTTGTCATGGCGTACGCCTTTGCATGACGCGGCCTCAGAGGGGTCCCTCCCGATTGTCGAAATGCTCCTACGCCACGATGCGCATATAGATGCTCAGACCCGCCAGGGTCAGACACCACTTTATCTCTCAATCCTCCAAGACCATCTTAGTGTTGCCGAGTTGCTAGTCAAGAAAGGTGCAAACTTACAGATCCTCAACACCAACAAGCGATGGACGGCTTTACACCATGCAGCATGGACAGGAAGTATTCTCATGGTAGAGATGCTCATCAGTAATGGGGCAGACGTTGACGCGCAGGATCGACAAGGGTACACTGCGCAGCATCTTGCGCTTCAGGCTGGACATGGCGTGATCGTGGATTGCCTGAGGGCGAGTGGAGCAGATACACAATACCTGGATCCCGAAAGATTGAAGT